GCTTTCATGTTGATCTTCGTACCCAGAAATAATATATTGGACGAGCTAAAAGAATGGTGGACTCAATTTGGCATTGCCATTATAATTAATTTAAATTTAAGTAAAAATCATTGCATTATTGTAAAACTTGTTCTTATTACATTAAAATTAATTTGAATGTATTGAGAGTTAGTTTCTCCTTTTCAGGTTCCTCACGAGCCACTCACAATCGGAGGATCCTGCTCACGCCTCCAGCTCGGCTTTCCATCAGAGAGCGCTGAGCAGGCATGCGAGAAACTCATTTTGTTTTGGCATATAAACCACGCGCGGCTGCTCATGCAATTCGCAGAGGGGTGAGTGGGGTTCAGGGGTTTAGGGGTTATGGCAAAGTCAGAGCTTTGCTCATAGGCCTGCACATAACTTTGCATACTTTGTACGGACTGGCGTATGTGCTTATGTGTGTTTGTGTGTACCTGTTTCCTCTGCACAATCTATATGTTTATAGAGAATTTATGCATTAGTCGCACCTGCCACGCCCCCACATGAGTATGAATTGTGGGGGTAGGAGGCAGAGGGCGGGTGGCGCGTAGTCGTGCGCAGCCTTACGGCCATCAGACATGTAAATTAACATAATAACCATCAAGAGCCCGAAGGCTGAGTCAAATCCAGACTCCCTCCCGGGCCCGTGTCCTGGGTAGGAGTCCGGAACCTCCGGCTTGAAATGCGCTTACGGTCTGGCGAGGCGACGCCGCAAATTATGCTATGTTTTTAGCCCTCCAACTCGCTCTTCTGGCAGTTTGCTTAGCATTCTGGAATAATGTAAATCAAATTATGTTAAACTATGCTAAGTCTGCGGGGAGGAAAGGATGTTTGCATACAGGATTTAATTTTCACCGGTTTGTTCTTAATTAGACTTTGCAAATTATGGTAGTTATTAAAATGAATTGAAATCTTAATATTTCTAAAAATTCTTTATTAACTCACTTGCCAGCCAAATAAATATAAATCTCAAATAAAGTTAAAGCCATGTTAAATTAAAGCTCCATGTTAAAGGGAGACCCTTCCATCAACCCAGTTTACTCCCAGCAGATTTGGTTCAGTATCGAGTATTATTATTTTTCCCTATTTGCCTCTCACTTACTCAATTTCTCCCCTCTCTCTCTCACTCTGCCTGCGTCCAGCCCTTTGTATCACTTTATTAATCTGCGTGCTTGGCATGTGTAAAAAAGCAAACAATCACTATCCCTTGTTAATTAATAGCCATCGCATTGAGTGCGCAAAAAAGCGCGAGAGGCGGGGACTTAAATCCCACTTTACGAGCTGCGGCAACATCATAATAAGCATCGCGTTAAGCTGCTCGTGTTGCATATCCGAAAAAACCTTTAAAATCAGCAAAGATCAGGCCACAGGGAATGCAGCAAAAAGTAAGATTTAAGGTTGCACACTCATTTCAGCTCACACGAGCGCTTTAATAAACGGTTCGGCATTATTTATGTTCGGGTGTTGTTGCTACGTTTTTGGTGTGGCTGCTGCTCTTGTTATAGCTGCTGCTGCTCCTGCTGTTGCTGTTGCTGCTGTGCATGCAGCTTAAATATTTTTAATTGCATTTCGCGTAATCACCGACACCTACGCAACACAAACGCCATCAGCAGCAGGGCCACTCCCCCATCCGCCCCGTAGCAAAAGTCGTGGCAAGCGATGCGAACATTTTTCCAATAGTTAATGGCAATTTGCTGTTTTGCTATTTACGCCAATTATCCAGCATTTCCCAGCAACAACATGAAAGCCAAGCCAAGTCAAGTCAGCCGGCGCTGAACAACACGGAGCAGACCAGCCAGACCCACGTCGAAGTCGGAGTCGCCTCTTCCACCCGCCACCATCGCAGGTCCCCGTGAACTCCAATGAGTCGTGGCAAAGTGCAAGTCGCGACGCGGTTGTCGTTTGTGTGAGTGTGGGTCGGTTTGTCTGCGTGTGTCAGGGGCTTCGCAAACAGGGGTCAGAAGTCAAACTTCGTTGACAACCAAATACGAATCTAAGGCAAAGACTATGAAAAAGAAATATCAGACTATAACAAATTCACAACCAATTATACTCGAAATATATTAAAAATCTTTTGATAAATTGTGGAGTTCAATCAAATTGGACAAATAATATATTTTATTCAACTTGAAATTAATAACTACATATGTGCATGTAAATAATAATTGCTTAAGTGTAATAAAAATATATTTTCTATAAAAAATATAAAAGAAAGTTTAACTATTGTAAGCTCCCTCTAATATAATTTCCGATCCACTGCCCTGCTCAGTGAGCACCGGCACACGAACTCCGTGTAAAATCGTCATAATTGAAGCCTTCAACAAGTTTCACATACAATTACGGACACCTTTGACTGGTTCTACGGCTGCACGGCTGGCTGGTCCAGAGCCCGAGTTGTTCCTTGCGGCCTCCTTTGTTCCAGGGAGCATGTCCCCGGCGGTTAGTCGAGCGAGAATCGACCCTTTGTCATTTGACCGGCAGGCAGTCAGTTGCATTAACCATTAAGTGAAGAAGAATTAATAAATTCGTGTGTGGTTATGGAGGACGTGTTTAACATTCAACTGCGGCTTACGCTTAATGAGTTAACCTTTAACCTTTGATAATGCTATTTACCCACACTCAGCTTATGCAAAGCCCTAAGTTCGTTGAGAGAACAACCCACATTTATTTTAATCCACTCATAATCCTCTTGGAGTTTATGCTAATTGACAATCTGCGCCGTGTTGGAGCGACTGTCATGAATTTCGACGAAATGCAACCTCTGCCTCCCTGGCTTTCAATGGAAGCTATAGAAGCCACTCCTTCCCTTCGGCAGTAATCTTATTAAAGCATTCAAGTTTTGTCTAATTTGTTGCGCGCAGTTAGTTCTTGTTGTGGAGCTTACTGATTTTATTAGCATTCAACAGAGAGCGCCAATTAATTCCATTAGTGGTGACGACGACGACGACGGCGCTGTCCTGGCTCCTTGGCGACTCCTTCCAGCACCAGAAAGTGAACAGCGCCCATTGAGGGGATGGGTCTTGATCAAATCAGCAGAAATAAATTCGCCACACACAAAGCATTCCAAGTTTTTAATTGCTATAATTACTTGTGGGCGGCAGTCACCTTCCTGATGTGATTAGCAGCATTCGGCCTCAAAAATTGGCATCGGGGGGTGGGGTGCTGGCGGGGCAGCTTATAATAGCACATAAAATTCCATTTTAATCACCTAATTTATGCAATAAAATGAGATAGACAAACAATGTTGTTTTCATCGATCGCAAGGGTGGGGTGAGAAGTTACCTTGGCCCGCAATATATTATTAGGACAGATATTCATTACGTTAATCATATTCTTAATGGCTGGTGAAAGTTATACTGCAATTACTTTGATGGATTATAAACACTCGGAGAACTCTCCCCTCAAATTAACTAATAAGTCAGCTTAAAATATATTCACAGAGATTCAAAGTTTTATTTACTTACTCAAACCTGGTTGCATTTATTTAACCTTGACATTTTGTGACAATCAATCGGCGTAGTAGTGACTTAACTCTTATATCACCAGCAAACATTCGGTGTTGCCATATATGAAATATTATAGTATTTGACTTAAAAGATTAGAGAAGCGAGAGGAAAGGCTCAAACTATACTTGCCACCCTCGGTACACGTCCACCCGACCAGCTGCGTGGCACCTCCTCGTTCTGTTTGTCACACTGGATTTATTACTATTTGATTGGTTTTATTTATTTACTCTGGCCACAAAATGACAACTGCTGGGCAGACCAGCTAGTCGAATGCGTCACAATCACATGTGACAGACGGCTTGTGACTAAATACTTTCGGCCGGCATTTGAGTTGGGCATTTGCATGAATAATATATTGGCCAGGACCGGCGACTGTAAGCCAAAATAAACATGCTGCAATTATCCAGGGCTTTGGCCGTGCCTGCAGTTTGTTTATGCATTTGTGAAATTCAATTTTGATGCATTTCTGGCAAAATTTAACACGATCCACGTTCGGACAGGTTCCATGACCATAATGCTCACTTGACAAATGCCTGCCGCTAGCACAATCTCATTGCGAATGCTGTCTGACATCAATTTGTGAGATTAATTCATCCGCCTATATCTGTCTATTTAAACATAAGTATGCACATAGGTCGAGTGTGAGCGTATATATTCCTGTTTGCTCGGAGCAAGCAGACAATGCCCGTTGACATTTAAGAGGAAAGGAGTGCTGTGCTTCCTAGCCCCCGTTTATCGAACTGTGTAATTTATGGCATTTGTTGATAATTTGTCTTCCCAATTGAGCCCCTATCTATGCCTCTCTGTCTACCTAATACTTTTTGGCCAAACAAAGCCGGAGTCAAATAGTCGAGCAAACAGTGCGTATACTTGATGTATGGGATTTAATGCTCATTCAGAGCTTACCCCCGATCCCGTTGGCAAACCTTACGCTCATTTAGCCAACCTTTGAGTTACGGCCATCAAGCGTTAACCACAACATAAACGGCTTATGCAGGTCACCTATTTGACTGCGTAGAAAGCTAAAAAGGCTGGCTTGAATTATGCAAAAATATTTAATAGCTCATTTTGTTCCTCACACTCGTTGAGTTTTAATATTAATAGCAGCTTAAAGATGGTAGGCTCATATCTAAATCGTTTTTATTCTTAGAAAATATTAAAGAATCTTACCCACACAGGCATACAATGTAATTAGAAACTGTATTTGCTTAATGGAAGATTAGTTTATGTGTATCTTCAAGCAAAAATCTAAAGAATAAGCGAGTTTTGGTCTTTCCCGTGATTTGCACTCATAAAAAGTTCGAAAACTGGGTATAAAGCGGTATAACTGATCCTAAGGCCTTCTTCGAATTCTGTCAGAATATGGATTGGGTTACTTGAAAATGCATATCAGTTAAAGATGACTCACCTATCCATGATAAGTTTATAGGTTCTGCGCCGGAGGATAAGCATCGCAAATACAATTATAAAGAATGCGGACTCCGTGTAGGAGGATATAATGATAATATATGGAAACTTAAAATATTGGGCCAAGCTCATAATTAGCGGCATAATCCAGGAAACACCCATGATGATGAAGACTCGCACAGACCTTAGGTAACTGAGATCGGGATATGGAATTTGTACGTCCCTTTTTTCAAAACTTAACAGTCGGTCTTACGTCGGAATGTCGTACTCGAGGACGGCCTTCATCCTCTCCTCCTGTTTGACGATCTTCTTCAGTTGGTTCGTAACTTTCCAAATGTGAATCGAAATCAGGATGAACATGATCACATTAAAACTACTGATGAATAGCAGAGGTCCAGTTTGGTACAGCCAGGAATATCTGCTCGTACCTGAACAATTGACAAGTAATAGTTAGGTATGGTAACGAGTTTAGCTACAGTTCAGACCTTTCACAGAACATTGAATGAAACCAATAGAGGGCAACCAGTTCCATTTTTGGAGATCCTTCCCCCAAACTGCATTCATCAAGTAAATGACTCCGGTCGGAATCGCTGCAGTGCACCAGACAATGATGTTGCAGATCCGAAAGCGATTCGGAGACTCGGAGCGATTGAGCGAGGTGAAATAATTCCACAAGTGATAGCTAATGACGGAGAACCAGAGGTGGTGTGCCATAGTTAAGAAGTACCTACTGTAACCTGTTAAGTTCCAAAGTTGATTTCGTGATCTGTTATATGACATACTTAACCACTTACCTGCTAGCACGCAAATGTCGGTGGCTAAACCAAATGTTTCTAGCAACGCGGTAAGATAATTAACTAGCATGCTGAGTAAGCCGCAAACTAAGCACTTCCCGAGTAAATCACGAAGTTCCTTCACACAAATATATACGACTACCGTGAAGATAACGCATATTATCGATATCACATGAACTGGAATAACAGAGTTAAAAAGAAACATTAACTTTTAAATCCATCAATCCATTCTTACCCTCAATTGCCGCTGTCAGGGCATTCAATTTGCACCAGTGGTGAGAAAGCCACACCGACTTTGGGAAATCCGCATCGAACTGGGGATATAGACAGTATTCTTCATTGCTTAATCTCTTCGGGAGGGCGAGGAGGTAAAAGGTTCCGTCCTAAAGAATTAGTTTTAGAAGTGCAGAAACATTTGTCATATGGAAAGGCAAACCTTTAAGATCGTGTACTCATTTTCCCTCACATTGATCACCTCGTCGCAAGGCTCAAAGTGTTTCCTGATGATATGCATGTCCCTGAGATTGTACTCCTCCTTATGCCACGCTTTGTCAAAGTGGACCATACTCAGAGACCTGTTGCTCTGCTGGATCTCCTCGTGCAGATCATCACTACAGTCTCCATTGGCCAGCATGTTCTTCCGGGGACAGCAGAACCGGATGCAGGCCTTCACTTGGCAGATACATCCTCTTAAATGCGTTTCCACTGACTTCGTCACTCCACCTAGCAGCTCTATAAACTCATATTCCCCAGTCAAATTAGCGGGAATTTCAAGGCCATTGTATACATAGGAGTCGTTGATCCGTTCAAAATGCGAAATATCAATTGTTTCCTCGAACTTGCAGTTTAAAATAAACGCTCTTGAGTTCATCACGACAGTTAAGAACATAATAATTTCACAGAACATTTTTAGAGACGGACGCATTTTTGGTCAAGAAACCTTCCACACTATTAGCTAAATCCAACTGGCTCTCGGTGCAGTGAGTTCTCAGCTTATAAGGCTGTTTTTCATTTCTTTTTAATTAAAATGAAATAAAATAAAAATACCCATACGTCTCATTTTTATTCCCTATACACCCATTTTTATTTTAAAACGACCATTGCAATTATTTGTGACCTAATTCATGTTCTCAAACAAAACTCTTTCGTTCCGAAGAAATAATGTCAAAAATATCAATTAAATCATTATTTTCCCTTTTCACTCATAAATTCCCGATGTCAGTCTACAAATGGGGAAGAGCGGCATTACTTGTTTATTATTTTATTACTTCCTTTTCGCGAGAGTCGTTTTAAAAGTTGAATGTGGTGTTTGGGGAGCATTTCGAATATGAATCATGCTCTATGGGCGATAAGCACATACTTTTCTTTTGAAAAACGTTGTTCTGGAAAGTGAACCAATTTTTCATAAGTATAAACCTTAAATCTTAATAAAGACAATGATAATGTTTTTCAGAAGGTAGCAGATGTAGGTTAATATTAATATATTTCCAAAATGTCCGTCTTTTGACTGGGAGTATCTCTTTACATTCTACGAAAAGGGCCTTTCAAAACGATATATTTGTATATGACCAAGGCCATGTTTTTGACCGAAGTGCTCAGGGGACATAATGATCAAGAAAAGCCTGACCTCTTGGCAAATCGCTTAATGTTCTTTCGGGGCTATGAATGTGAGGTGGCGTTATGCAAATAAGTTTTCAGCCCTACTAATATCGAATAGAGTCGTGTATCAAAGATCCCGTCCAGCACTAAGAAGTAGAATCCGTTCCAAAGTCATGCCAAATCTTTTGTCAAACCATAACCTAAGCCCAAATATTTTTTATAACTATTATTAAATAAAACATAGATAATATCGAATTATCTTACATGTACCAACATATGTTGAGTGTAAAAAATCAAAGTGAGGTCATGTGCTCATGGCTGTACACCAAGTGGGTGCAATGATGGTGTTATCCAAAAATAAGCCAACGTATGACCAACATAAGAATCTAATTTGCATTACAGGTAGGATGCACAATATTCCTCTCCGGGATGTATAATTAGTATTGACAAATGTAATACTTTCAAAAGTTTACCACCAAGGAATACTTATCTGTACCAACAAGCAAAAACTTATTTTACTGAAACTTTGACACAACTGGTTCGCTGTGGAAATTATAGATAGGATAGAAGAGACGAACGTTAGTTTTCTTCTATTATTGTGAATTTCCTGAATACCCATTCCCAAGATCGAATCCCTCCTTAATGGAATGGCAATGAGTTGAGAGAGAGAGAATATTAAAGAGTTGCATTTTGATAAGGTAAGCAGTTACTTATCCAATAAATTAAAATGGGTGAAGATGGATTGGATGTGAAAAACTAAACTCATTTACGTTTCACATCACCATCACCTCCAGTTAAAGTGAACCAATTTTTCTGTCCATTCACATCTCAAAGACCGCACGTAATTGCATTTGAGCTTTGGCAATTGATTTTCTAAGGTTGGGAGCCAAAGAATGTGGGGAAATCGACTGGAAATTGATTTTCAGCTGCAGAAAAGAAAGGAGTGCGCAAGCCGGATTCCCTTAAGGCTTTCTCTGGAGCTGTCGGGAAATGGGAATTAATTTAAAAATTATATTAGCTTAAGCCTGAGCGTGTAATTAGCGATCCAGGCAAAGGAAAGCAAAGGTGTGCAAGTGGGCTAATAAGCTTCAAACTTTGGCTGAACACACAGAAACACTCGGCTAGAGTTTTATTCTGTGCCGCACTTGTTTTCGCCAGAGAGCCTTCGTGTTGTTCTTGCTGAGAGCCTGCAAAGTTGCATGCTGCATAGAGGAGAAGCCGTCAAGAATGCTTGGGGAATTGTTTTTGCTGCGTGTTTGCAACAGTCTTCATTGAGCCACATGGTCATGGGTTCATTCCGGCGGAGCCGAGATAGACCAACTAGACCGGGATGTTGTGAATGCAAATGAGGATGGCGGTGCGACTTTAATATTTAATACAGCTTAAGGTGAAATATCAGAGGGACTCGCAGCGGTGGAACTCTCTGCTGCGCGTTGGAAAACTTTTTATTGGACTTCTTGCATGGCAGCAGAACATGCATTTCCATGTACTCTGCATACTGCATACTCTGCATACTCCACCAGAAAAAATAGTCACCTTTGTGGAGCCAAAGTTATGACCAACACGAGCCGGCCTGGGTGTTGCCCAGTGGTCCCTGCTTCATATATCACATGCAAGTTGCAATTAAAACGTTGTCAATGCTGAATTTTATGCAACCATGCAGCGCTGCTCCTCGTATCCGCATAGTGGCAAGGATTTTTTCAATATTTATATTCTTTTGTGTCGGCTGTGGGGCAACGAAATCCTTTGCCCTGCCAGCACCACGGCGAACACGTTACTTGAGAGACATTCACACGAATGCCCCACCCAAAGCTGCCACCCACTCTGTTTACACAAGTTCACACAGCTCAGTTTGCTGTTTGTGTTTGCATTTGCTGTTGATCCTCAAGCTTGATTTTACTCTGGGCCCCGAAAAAAAGTGCGCGCATTTTCCGCTCCTTGAATAGGAATAGGGATAAGGATAAAGATAAGGATGGAAAATGGTGGGACGGGGGATGGGTGCCACACTTCAGCTGCACGCGCTGTTTATATTGTTGATGTTAATGCCAGCGCCAGTTGAGCAAAACTCCTGGTGGGGCAAATGCATTTCGCTCATAATTGGATGGGATTTGCTTCTCCGAATTCAGCACTGGCTTTGGGACCGGGGCTCTAACAATGAGTTAACATTTGCTCTTATCCCTCAAGCGGATGGAGGGTAAATGCCAAATAATGTCCTAAAAGATTCGGCTGCACTTCAACCTTATCGTTCTGGCATTTACCACGAACAGTGCTCTACCTTGGAAACTTTATTTTAAATAAAGGGGTTTTTAAATTATATCTTCCTAAAATTCCACAAACGGTAATGGCACACCAGCAGGGCGCAAACAATGCGAGTGACAATTTAATTAACACATTTCATGCACAAAAAAGGAGACGAGCAACTGCATTCTGTGGCAGCAACAATTGGTTTCCCTTTGGCATTTTAATTATGCATTTGTTGGCTTCACTCCACTCTCCAGGCTTTGCCGTGGTGCAGATAGCATGTTTAGTTAAACAATTTAATGGGTCCAGCGATATGTGAGCCCTGGTGAAGCAATTTATGGCCGGCCAACTATGGACACCATAAATAAACACGCAAACAAACGCTTAAGTAACATTTTGCTGGAAAATGTTGTTTCTAATGTGTCTGCACCATATAAATTAGTTCTATAAAAGCCATGTATTCTATTCCGAAATTAACATTTAAATAGTGCATTCTATTTAATACATCAGCAAAGCGTGTGATTTAAGAGTCATTGATTTTTCCTTGGATAATGATTGAACGGAACGAAGGCCATAAAATAAATATTTATTTAAATTATTAAACAGCAAGAGAATTTTAGCTTTAGCAATCAAAGTCATTTTCCGCGTGGTTGTTGGTCTAAAGAGATGTTTCTCTATAGGTCGATGTTGTTGTGGTTCTTGAGTGTTGCTGTCGACAGCTAACAAGGATAGCACGTCATTCGCAGTTTCCACTATGAGCTGGAATGTCATGTTGGAGTTGCAACTGAATGGCAGGGTTAAGCACGAGTCGAAGGGTGCAACCCAGCGAGGACAGTTAGCATGGAGCGTGAGATGAGCTGCCTTGGGGGACACTCGGGCGTTCATTCAATAGGTTGCGGACTCCAAGGTTAAGCTAGACAACGAGCAGCGGATATTAAACTTTGAGAACGACAAATACCCATTGAGCCACCGTTAGTTTACTTCACTAATGTATGTTCTACTAGTTTGCTCTCAGGGGTACAGAAATCCATATATGTGATTGATTACTCTTCCACGAACCAAGTTTTAATGTTCCCAACTAATTGCATAGCCCGGCTAAGCAAGAAACTGTTAATATACTACAGCCGGCGATGGTACCGAGAAACCGTGGCAAGAAGTTTGCATATCCATGGCACGTTCTACAATTTAATTGCAAAATTGCAGGGCGAATTAGTCGACGCGCATTCATAAAACAAACTGTCTGGCAGGGCTGCAAGTCCGCCAGCTGCAGCTCCTTGTCGTCCTTCTCCGGTGTCCCGGATGCCGGAAATGGCAGCCAGTTGAGTCAACAATAAACGGCGCTGGGACTCAAGCACAAAGTTTCTCCACAACTCGGCGCGAGGAGCTGGGCCTGGAGCTGCGACTGCAGCAGGACGACAAGGAGGACGACATCCGTTGGCAACATTTCATGGCATATTTAGTTGGCGGGCTCAGTGACTTTAATTTGCCTGGCCAGCCACCTGGGGAAACGCGCAACGCGACCCACGGATATATCGAGTTGCCATATAGAAGGCGCAATTGTTAGTCGCTTGTTTTATGGTCTCAACGCTAAAAAGGCAATTAGAGAGGCAAAACTGGCAAGTACATGGGGCAAGAACGCCGTTTCGAGGAATGACAGGAAGAGTTAGTTGAAGCTGTAAAATAATCTTAAGATACGGTTACAAGGCCTGCACTAACATAGAATCTTTTGTCTTTAATAAGGAAAAAGTTGTACATTTTGTAAGGAAGAAGAACATCTTTAAAATCTTTTCAGTTAGAGGGTATTCTAATTTACCGATAATTTGTGTTTAAGGCTTGACATAATCCTAATGTTATTGCTTCATGTCATTTAAAATTGGTACACAAAGACGCATCTTTTTAAAATTTCTTCCGCAAA